CACATACCCATGTCTATACATACATAGACACACATACATATTCAAATATGTATACAAGGGGGCTTCACAATGCTGGTTTTATCTTACCTTAGGCATTTACAAAAATCAAAATTGTTACTCCTCTATAACAGATTTCTTTCTCCACCTACTTTAAATTAATTACCTATGAGTGCCCATTATTAGACTGAAAATAATTTAGATTCATAATGAAGAGAAGAATATTCCCTCCAGATGTCATATTATTGCTGTCCTCTAAGGAAACGGTGGGCATAATAAAGCTTGCTCACAGTGTGAGCTGACTGTGAGTGGGGTTTTTCTTTTATTCGTTGATGTTTTCTGTTGGGTGACCACCTTGCTTTCTCTTCGTTAGGACTTTCTATTGGTAATAAAACCCCACAACATAAAAGTCAAGATTCTCTTATGTGTAATTCTCTATTTTCAGCTAATATAAATACTTGCATGTATATAGATATAAAAATGATGTGGGGATGTAAACATGTAGGAAACTGTTAAAACTGAATCCTAAATGGGTAAGATGAAGAGATAAGTTTTAAATATTATAAAATGGCTGTCTAAATAAATGTTTAAAAGTCATTTAACTTCAGCCCTAACTAATGTGCATGCCTTCATAAGTGTGTACCAAATCCATGTACATCACTACTGTATCTAGTGACTATTTCTGACCAGGGTCTGAACCTATGATTCCTGGAAAATGAGGCCCATGGGAGTGTGCGGGCAATGAGTACACCCAAAGTCAGGGCGAGGTTGAACTGTGGAAGGGTTTCTTACACTCCCCTAGTTAGTAGCTATCAATCGACTAGTTTAAAAGTAAGATCTGATCACTTCCTTAGCAATGTAACTTTAAAGAAAACCATCCTCCTATTTCTTTAACATTTAAATTCATTATTTATCATATTGATGTATTAAATAAATGAGAAATCATGAATTGACTTAAGCTCTAACACCTATCTGTGAACCACGTTTACTTGGCTGATTTTTTCTTCTCTTTGCTGATGTGGTATGAACTGGAAGTGACTGTTTGCTGAGGAAGCTCCAGGAGCTGTGTGCCCCGTATACAGAGGCTCCGTCGCAGAGAGCTTAGGAGGTCTTGGTTTGCCCCCGCGAGCTCGCCACGGCTATTCAGGTGGACCGTAATGTGTGCCCTGCTCTCACAGTGACTTCACCCGGCAATCACTCAAGCAGGTAGAAAGTTGCACTTCTAAGAACGTCTCTGATTCTCTGGCATGTGAATTGTTGATCCCTTTGGTTAATGATGAATATTATAAAACATCTTCCTCGGTAACATACTATTAATACAAAGTTGACTTACTTTTCTAATCATGTGGCAAATATTTAGGATTTAATAACTGTATAAAAGGAGTAGATTATTAATAGAAATATAAATTACCTCAGCCACAGAAACACATTCTGCATTCTAGGTTAACGCTACAAGCTTAATTTTACAAACTAAAAATGTGCAAAATTTAGGGAAAATCAATGATCACTTTCTGGAGGATACATATAAATTATGTGCTTGTATATCGGTCTACAAAACCTGAGAAGAGCAGGCTATACATTTTCATTATGATGTTATTGACTTTTTCTTATAATTTTTTTCTGTTTTTTTTAAAAAATGAGTCAAATTTGTAAATGTGGGCATGAAAGTAAATTAATATTTAATATAGAACGTATAGGAAACCAGCAGTTGGCATAATGGCTATGTCACTGGACTCCCATGTAGCCGACCATGGTTCAAGTCCAGGACCCGGTGGTTTAAATTCATGCTGGGCACGTGTGTGTGCGCCTGCCAAAGATCCCGAGAGGAGAATGGAGGAGAAGGGATTGCGGTGTGGTCATCCCCCCTGGGGGTGATTTCTCGCTTTCTGTCTCTATGTCTCTGTCTTTCTGGCAAGTGCCCGTGCCCTATAGTAAAAACCTCTCAAAAAAAAAAAAAAGTAGAACATATTTACTGTCTCAAGGAAAAAATGTATATTTTTGTGTCTTAGCTTAATCAAAATTTTTCCTGTAACTAAAAATGCCTTATTTAATTTCTTGAAAATGCTGTTAGACAATGACCCTCTACCTGGATGGGGTTCCATCCTGATAAATCTATTCACTGAAAGCATCGTGAGCCACAAGGCTGTACTATACGGTGCTCGCAGAGTGACCTGTCTCGCTTTACACCCTCTCGGCCTGGTCCACGCTAGCCCAGGCTGCAGATTGCCTCCAGTGGCACCGTGACAGCAGCTGTTCCCCTGCCAAGGGGCTGGTCACAGACGTGCGGCTGCCTCTGCCCCACACAGATAATGTCATTTCATGTCTTGCTACTCCAGGGATGAATCACGATTCAAAATTCAGAGTGTGGTTTCTACTGAATGTGTATCGTTTTTGCATCATTCTAAAGTAGAAAAAGACAACAAGAAAACAAGATTGAATCAAAGATTGAACCACAATAACCTGAGACCATCTGCACTTTCAAGGTACTGACATTTAAAGATATCTAAGGAAGGTATGAGAGCAGGAGGGCAAGTGTAGACACCAGAGACTGTGTGGAAGGGGCGCGCAGTGGGGCGAGAGGGAGTTGACTCAGGAAAAACAAAAATATTAACAGACATGAAAATGGAGTCTCCTGTTGGTAATGCAGCCTCTGGTAGAATCTCCACCTTGACTGGCACATGCTGCACGTGTACTGGGAAAAACCATGCTGTAAGCTGTAAAGATGTACAATGATGAAATATAAATAAAAATTGACAATTGAAAATTAGATAAAAAAGATAGAGACTGACAAATCAAATAGCGTTTTAGAATATTGAATACTTGAGAACTTGAGAAATGACAAGGAAAATAATTCTGTTTCAATCTTTTTCATTCCTTTATTAAAAACCCTTTGTTGGCTAAATAATGATATTCACACATTTTCTCATTATTATTGGAATTTCATTTCCTAAATGTCTTGATTAATAATTTTTACCAGGCAAAAATATTATAAAAATTATATAAATAGGAAGGTGGACCATTGAAAGTAATTTTGCAGTTTATTTCTTAATCATCTTTTTAAAAAAATTATTTTATCACATGAAAATGACATAACAATTCATTTTCATAGCTACATACAAAATCAACTGACCTCTTGATTCTGTATTGTCAATTAAAACCTTTCTTGCAAATGCTATGATTATATGGGCCAGTAAGATACACACAAATGAAAATTTACATATTTTAGAAAACTAAACAAGAGTGGGACCAGCAGTTAGCGTAATGGCTATGTTGCTGGACTCTCATGTAGTCAACCGCAGTTCAAGTCCCGGACCCGGTGGCTTAAAACTCATGCCGGGCGCATGTGCGTGCGTGCCCAAGATCCCAAGAGGAGAACGGAGGAGAAGGGACTGCAGCATGGCCAACCCCCCAGGGGGTGATTTCTCGCTTTCTGTCTCTCTCTCTTTCAGTCTGGCAAGCACATGCGCCCTATAGCAAAAATCTCTAAAAAAAAAAAAGATTAAAAAAAATCATAAAAATTTAAAAAATTTTTTAAAAAAGAAAACTAAACAAGAGTAACTAAGAAGAATGTCTTCTGGCATATATGATTTTTGAAAATACATATTTTTGTACATGTTATTGGACATAAAGTCAAATGTATAATTTTTAGGTGTTTTTGTTTGTTTGTTTGTTT